ACCTGCAAAAGAAAGAAGGAAAAAATTCTCACAGAGACAAGAGAAAGACTGGAGGTTTGCTCCTGAGTGATGGACTAGATATGACCTAATAGGTATTTGCCATCTCTTATTTCTGGGACTCTGATCCAAGAACAAACAGCAAGAGGACCATGAAAAATCAGCCCTGTTGGATCTGGAGTTCTGCCTTGACAAGATATAAAGCTCATTCATAGATCTCACTGTGCTCATGAGACTGCAGTTCAACTCCTGCTGCTAGAGCAAGGGGAGGGGGAAGGAAGATAGAAAGGGGTGAGTGGGAAGGAGGTGGAAGATCTGGGTTGTGACTATAATAGCTACAGTAATTAGAGTGTTTCCAAGCTGCTGGAGAAGTCTTCAGAGCAGGGAACTAGGATGAGAGATGGGGGAGGGGAAAAAGCATGAGGAAGCAAACTGCTGAAAATGCTAGGAAACTATATTGTGGTTTGTGAACAGTTTAAAACAAACAAACAACTATGATGGCTTCATATGGGTAAATAAAGAACGTTATATTCTTTCCGAGAAGTTAATACTATACAAATAACTGCGAGGCTCCCACTTAAAGCTAGGTTATGAACCAGGTTTAAGCAGATAACTGCAAATGTTCCTGTCTTTGCAGTGGTCTACTGGCCCTGGCCTTATACCGTTGCCTCCCTTTCCCCTAATCAATCAATCAATCAATCAATCTATGTATCTAAAGCTCTATCCCTTAGAGAGCCTTCACTCCACTTGGAAAAGGGTTTTCTGAACTCTAAACAGTTAATATCACTTACTTCCCTTCAATCAACTGTTAATTAGTACCCAGTGAATTCAATGAGGGGGGCAGCACATAGCCTGTTGTGTTGACCTAACACAGAAAATGACTAGAGGGCCCTAAAAAAACCAAAATAAACGCCCAAGTTATTTGTTCATACATTTTTGGCTCTATGGCACTGCCTACTATAGTGGCATGAACACGTGAAAGAAAAATAATATATTAACAGAAAATGATGATGGTAACCTACAAGAAAAACCTGGGAATTTGCAAAAAACCTAAAAATAGAAAGTCCTCCTCCAAGTTATAGGAAATACCATACTTGTTTCTAAGATAAATATATAGTTGAGGTATTATTTTCTTAACATGATTTGGCTTGAGATGATTTGATTCTAACAAGTGATGTTAATCTCAATGCCAGAGAAAAGAGTTATAAAGGTGCTAGGAGAAACTAAAAATGGAACAGGACATCTGAAGAAATGCAAACTTCATATGGAGATTTACATTCATAAAATAAAAACACATGCAAATTTCTTGAGGGAGGCATGTCAGGTAGACCTACACAAAAAGTCAATTATATCTTTTGCATAAAACCTGCTGGGTAGTCTCCCAGTGGGTTAAATCTATTTCACCACACTGAAAGCAAAGAATTTTCTCCTTCCCATTTCCCTCTAATAAACAAGCACTAGAAAACTGAATTACCACCATTTCCTTCCCATTCATAGGGCATAAAGCCAGAAATCACAGAACTACAATAAGGCCAGCTAGGACTACGTCTAAGGCATGTTGCTCAGTATTCTACAAGAAACATAGAGAAAGAAAAATCTCTTTTTTCTATTCCATTATCATCTTACTAACAAACCTGTATCAGACATCAGGAAATGTGAAACAAAGAGCAATTTCACACATACGAACTGAACCTAAACCACGGAAGACCCAGTATTTTCTTGTCACTGTGGCATGTGATTCTTTAACCACCTGCTCAATAATCCCTCTTCAGCTGCACAGCTGCTGCCAATTCCACATGCCCAGCTAGGCAGGTGCTTTGGTGAATTACCTGTTCCCTAGTGAAAAGAGTCCTTCACTGACACTTAGTGGGCCCAGATCCTGCCAATCAGCATCACTGATTTTCATTTTGTCTGTCACAGCCAACTTTTATGAGAGATATTGTGATGGCATATTCAGAACACTATCTGATTTTGTATTTTGTGGGGTTTGTTCTTGTTGCTGTTGTTTTTTAAAGGAAACGGATTTTTAAAAATCAAGTAGAAGTGAAAATTCAACTGCTGAAAAGAAAACTTGCCACACAACATAAGGCTGCCTTATCTCAGAGTGGCCCCATCTGTCTGGCAGTATTCCCATCCATGACTGGTTTTCCACAAGGGAAAATAACAATTGCTCAGCTACCTATGTAGCAGAAGAAAGTGGCAGTTGCAAAGTGCTATGGTACCTGGCAGGAATGAGGGGGGGAAGAACTTCTGAAGTCTCCATGGTTGAGCCCATGGCAGTAGTGTTCAGAGTCAAATAAATAAGGAGCGACACTTCTAATCGCCAGAGCAATGCTAAACCCCTCAACAAATTATCCTGTTCCAGTCCTTTAGTTGCTATATGCTAATTGCAACATAATTACTACCAGGAGCCAAAATTATGCTCCTATATCCTCACACAAAATAAGCACTAATCTGCCCAGCTATCTAGACCTCTCACAAGAAAACATTTTCTACCAAGAAAACCAAAGTGCTCTCTATAAGATGGTCATAATCAGAAGACTCAGAAGACTCCCTGTGGCAAGGGCCCAACTCTGAAACCACTAATTCTAATCAGGGCAAACTTCATAGAAGGCTTTTGCCTTTGTTGTGACCTGACAGGATTCAGAATGAATGCCTACAACCCAAGGACAAAATGCTTTGGACTCAATTTAGGTGAGGCTTCACCCAGAGACCTTGGACAGGTAAGTTGGAAATACTCTAAAGACAGACAACACTTCTAGAAAGACTTTAAGATAGTTCTGTCATCAAGAACATGTTCCCTCCCAACAAAGCCCAACACCTAAGCAAGTCATCATTTTAAGAAACTCACTGAAATAAAGGGATGAGGGAGGCACATAAACTCAGCACCTCAGAACAAGACCTCTACCAAAACCAAAGGCTAAAATTCCTATTCAACAATACCCTATAGGCTATGGTTGGCTATTGTGTACACAGTGCATTGTGTGCAATTGCCCTCTCACAATGAGTCTGATTTCTAATCTCTTCTTAAAAGTTTTCCTTAATACACTAAATGGAAACCTCATTTCTAATCCCAAATAATTTTTTACCCAACTAATAGTACCTAAATACTATCTGGACACTTCTATGAGCTATTTACAAGGATAGCATTTCTTCTAGCTTATTCTCATCCTTCTCTCAATAATAAACCCCAAGACCTCAAATGATTTTTACGTTCATCACTTTGACAAATTTCTCCCTAATACAAAGGCAGAGATGGCCTTTATGCACAATGGCAAGTCATCTCTTTTCATCAGAATTAAAATAAAGATTAAAAAGAAAGTTGTTTTGTTTCCATAGCCCTTGTCCAGATAGGCAAATTCTGTGGCTTTTTTGTTGTGCAATTATTACTGACCAGGAAGTCACCATTAAAAAGGTACTTGGTATTCCTAAACAAGCAAAAATCACTGTTGAGTGTCCAATCTGTTTAAAAAGAAATATGATGGTTCAAACAAGAGTGGAAACCTCCCCTTGGAGTCTTCTTCCTTAAAGGTCTGACACAAACATCGGATTGAGTCTCCCAGACATGATTCCTCCACAACTTAGTACAGGCTAGCCAAAGAGGCAGGCACAACATGGCTGGCATTCCCTATTCTTCTGAAAAATGTGTGCCAATGAGCTCTGCATTGTTCCTCACTCAAAAAGAAGAGCCTTTCTGTCTGGCCTCCTCCAATGGCAAGCCCCAGTCTGGAAAAGGAAGAAAATGGCACTGAGGAGCCTGGGAGATGGAGCATATCCAAAGCTCTCAGACAAGACTTGAACCTATGACCTTCACTGTGTACACAATAGGCGGGTGAGAGGGACCGGTTTATCTCTGCAGCAGCAGTTCTCAGCCCTGGGGTAGCACTCCCGATAAAATGACACAGACTATTGTGTGTGGCAGCAGAACAGTCATCTCCTCACAACAGCCTAAACCAGCACTCCCTCCCCCAAGACAAAGCAGCAGGGGTGAAATTAACTCAAGGCTGCAGAGCAAAGCCTAGTACAGAAAAGAGAGGCCTGTGGGGGATTGGGGACTCTCCTCAACCCCTGGGGCTCTGGACACATGGCTAGAACAGACAGGTTTTCTCCCCCATCTTTCCCACTCTCATTTAGGTAGGAAGCTGCTTCTTAGAGAATTTAATCATCTGTGATTTGTTCAGAAATATTCCCCCTGAAGGGCTCTGATCTCTCCACCCTGTGTGAGCCTAATTCCTAGAAGCTGAAATGACTGTTTGCTGCTGCCTGTTTCACAAACACACATTAATTGGTCAGATGTGTCTCCTCCTCCTCAACCCCAGAGGGAGGAAGGAGAATCTGAGCAAAGCACAGAGATGATCCAACCGTAATTACACATAAAGGGAAAAGAGGGCAGCATGGGTTTTTCCAAACAGGACAGGGTCACAAATCCTCCCGGGGGTACAAGGAGAGCAGTTAAGGGCCAGGCCCAGGGATCCCTCCATCTTGAAGAAAAGGACTGGAGTAAATGTGACCTGAAGACTGTAAGAAGCACACACCCACAACCTACTTACTGCACACTCCGGGCCACCTTTCCCCCCCCCACCCCAGGGCCGCGCACACGTCCTGCTCCCAACCCTTACCCCTGAACCCCCCTAACTCCCTGACTAGCCCCAGCCGCCTTAGGCCCCCTCGAGATACCCAGACTCGTCACTGAAACTCTCTGGCCTGTCCCCACAACCTGGTCTGACCCTAATCCTCTCTTGGGCACCCCTACCCTGAGGTTGAACCGGCCCCCGCCACGCTTTGAACTTCACCCCGCGCCCCTCGGCGCCCCCTCCCCCACCCACGCAACGACCCCCCTTCTCCCCCCCCAAACACACCTTCCCCTCGCTCCGCCCCAGCCCCCCAACCCCCACTTCCTCCGTCAGGCGCCGCTGCCCCCGGCCCCCTCAGCCCCGGCCCGCCTCAGCGCCACGGCCTCTCTCCTCCCCCAGCCCCGGCTCCACACAAAGCTTCGGACTCACCGCGCGGCCGGTCCCGGGAGCCGCCACCTCCGCCCGCCCGGGGCCCCGGGCCGTAGAGCCGCCGCTGCTACGGGGCCCAGGCCGCCATCCGTTCCCGCGGCCCCTCCCCCCCCACCCCACCCCGCCTCAGCTCCGGCTCTCCGCCCCCTCCCCGCGCCGCTCCGCCCCGCCCGGCCGGTGCCGCTGTGTCCGGGGCCGCGGGTCCCTCAGCCGCCGCCACCGCCGCCGCCGCCGCCGCGATCCGGGACAACCAGGGCCGCCCCGAAGACCCGGAAACTGGACTACCGGGCCCTCGGATCTGGATTCCGGGCTGCTGTGGAGTCTGGAGCGGGAGTGCGCCGTGGAAACCCGGAACCTGGATGAAAGAGCCAAATCCTGGGTCTCGGAATACGCGATCACACGGAGCCCGGATTAGAGTCGTAGCTCTGGGAATGCTGGAAAACCCGGCGAGCCGGTTAAAACAGAGATAAAGTCGGAGAAACCTGGACTGGAGAGCTCGAACCTAACGCTCTCCCCTCGTGGAAAGAACTCTCGCAGGACCAGACTTCCTCGCAGAAAGATCTCTGGGGAATCATACCTTAAATACAGAAGACACCAGTTCCGTAGGTGTCCAGAGGAAAAGGCCCTAAGGGGCCTGAACGTGAATATCCATGAAGAACAGAAGAGCAAGCACAGCTTATAATGGTTTCATCCATTTTATCCTTTGGTTCAGCAAATTATCAACCCCCTAATTTGTTTTATCCTTTGTTCTCTAGTTTCTTTCTTAGGATTACCACTTGTTTTTTTCTGCAAAGTACCCACTTCTCATCTTTCTATATCCCTTTTCATCTCACCATCCTATATCACCAAATCTTGTTGCTTTTTATTATTTAAAAGCCCGATGCTGTCCTTCTGCAACCCACTATTCTAACGACTGTAACTTTTACCTTTCCATATCTGCCACTCATCTGTGATTGCCCAGTACACTACATAGTAGACATTCAGTCCGTGTTTACGTGAACCCTCCCACCCACCTCTCACTTGTGAAATATAAACTTTTCATGACCTCTTCCCTAAAACTTCCACCTCCTTCCATAGCAAACAAATTTCTTAATTTTCAAGGCTCCCCTTTCTTAGCCCCTCTTATGTCCTTCCTGTGTCCTTGATCATTTTAGCTCTGCAGTTTTTATCTTTATTCCCTTCTCCTGAGGCATCCTTCAACAGTGCCACTCAAGATAGTGTGTCTTGGGAATGCAGCCAGGCCATAAAACCCCTTTACTCTCCATCTACACACACACACACACACACACACACGGTGGGGATGAGGTTGGGAGCTAAAGATGAACACTAAGCCTGTCTAGCCTAGGAAGAATAATCTCCCTTTGGCCTATCAATATTTAACTTGTTCTAGTACAGTATAGGGCAGTACTGATTCCGGGTGACAGCACACTTCCAATCTCTACTAGGCAATGTTACAAGTGAGAATTCACTATTTAGCAGGTAGACAAAGAGTAGGGTTTGGTATTTTAGACTTAGATACGACTTAATGAAGGGTTAACAGTCAAGTAGTCATCTTCTACTGAAGAGCATGACCCTATCACTAGGGAGGACAGGACTGCAAAAATAGGGAAAAAAGGAAAATAAACAGTCCTACAGTGAACCTCAATTTTTAGCCAAAGAAAGTTTGCAAGCTGGAAGAACCACCAAAATTTTTAAGTGATGTCCTGTACATTAAAAGAATCTTGAGTTTTAACTTCCTGTTCCTCTAGACCAGGGGTTGGCAAATTAGGCTCACATGCTCACTGCATGTTTTGGTTATGTCCCATGAGCTAAGAGTGGTTATTACATTTTTAAAGGGCAGAAAAATAATCAAAATAATACTTTGTGGTATGAGAATATAAAATTCATATTTCAGTGTCCATAAACAAAGTTTTATGGGCTCATAGCCATACTCATTCATGTATGCATTATCTATGGATTCATTTGTACTGTAACAACAGAGTTGAATAGGTGTAACAGAAACTTGTATGACCTCCAAAGCTTAAAATATTTGCTATCTGGCCCTGTGCAAAAAAAAGTGTGTGGACCCCTGTTCTGAATAAGCACTGTCCAACCGAATTTTTTGCAATGATGGAAATGTTCTATATTTGTGCCCTCCAGTTCTGAAGTCACTAGCCACATGTGGCTGTTTGACCCTTTGAAATTTGGTTAATGGGACTAAAGAACTGAATTCTTAATTTCATTTAATTTAAATAACCACAAGTGGTTAGTAGCTACCATATTAGACAGTACAGCTCTAGACTATTCTCAAATCTTCCGTATTGACATTTTTTGCCCCTTGTGCCAATATCTTACTCCCTTCCCGTGTCAGACTCTACGTGGATTCTCAGTTCCCCCACTCCCCTACCCCCAGCCCTATTTATCTTACTCCAAGCTAGAATATTTACTGGGTTTTCTTTCTGGGCTCTCCATTGTCATAACTGAAATCTGATCAGTTTACCAAGTTTCACCCCGTGAATTAATCCACATTATGTGTACACATATAAATGGACATTTATACAAGTTTCTTTGTGTTGAAGGATGGAACTGTGCTATGTTCTTTCTTCTCTGCATGAGAGAAGTAGAAAAGCCCTCCACGTGCTGGATCCCTTGTTGCTGCTGGAGCCTGTGATATGGATCACCTCCCTCCAAACACATTCACAGAAGCTGAGAACAGCAGATGTGTACTTGCTATTTGAATCTCAAGGAAAAAAATTCCTTCATCGCAAGCCTTTCTTTCCTCCCCCTAGGCCTAATAAACTGAAGTTAGTTGATTTCTCTAGTTTAATAGATGCTTGCTTTTTTACTGGCCTTTTCTAGCTGGGCAGGAGAACAACCCCAATACTGTCTCAATCTTGGCTAGGAGTTCTAGGAAAAGCATTAAAAAAAATTTTACCAAACTAAATGAAATCCACATAAACGGGCTTTAGTAGAGACAGCAGTTAAAATGGAAAGAGATTAAAGGTTATAACTCATAAAAACCATTACTTTGTAATTATTTGTAAAAGTAATCTTCAAAGTCTAGATTTTTTTACAGCTACACCCTAGGAAAAAAGGGGTTTCTGTAAACTTCCAGCTTAAAGAGAAAAGAGGGGACACCTATTTCTGTTTCCCTAGATTAGCTATAGCAAGCAAAAACAAAACAAAAAACCCCACAAAACCCTTAGTCCATTCCAAACATCTGACTATGAAGTCAAAGTCTCCTAAATCCTGACAAGAAAAAGTATCTGGTTTCATATATATCCCACTCTGAGCTTACATAATTAAGACAGGGACCTGCCTAGAAAAACAAAAACACTGAATCCTTCAGGTACTGTACAAATCGAGAGCACTGGACCCAACCATCCAAAAGGGGGCGCCAACAACATTTAGGCAGCAAAAGAAAACCAGCTCAGAAATGTGAAACTTCCCTCAAGCCAAGCTGTCCCAGAGTTAAAAGGGTCAGTGCAAAGTGTTATAAAGCACTGAAAGGCAATTCCTGGGCGAATTTGTACTCAGGATGCTAAGAATTTCCACTAGGCTTTAAACTATGCTATTCATCACTGAGCAACTGAGGGCCATCTACCCCCAAGTCTCTCCCACACTTCCTCCCCGGTGTCCTACAAATAAAAGACAGACCTTACACCATCACCATGTGAACTAAAGACAAACCTTCACAGTCTAACCGTGAAAAGAAGTTTCCACGTTACTCTGCCATTTACTCATGTGACTCCGCTGCATATTTTGGATGCTGAGGGGGTTCTTGTAAACTTATAATGTTCTTGTGAACTTTCTTATTGCAGCACACAAAATGGTTGCATAACCTGATCTTGCAGGTCCTGATGTTTTTCTTTAGGCATGCATACACAATCTATCCAGGTGAAAAAAATATCAATCCGGACTCCTCGGTGCTTGAGCTGCCATTCACATAAAAAGGCAGAAAACTTATTGTTGTTGTTCCCTAGCCCTTCACCTTCTGCCTTTTGGTTTTATTCTGGAATTCAGAAAACCAGACAATTCCAGTGCAGAATTCATGGGATTACTGCCTGGTAATCTATTAACCCAGTGTGGGTTCATTAATAGTACTAGGGTCTTCAGGAAACCAGAATGAAACTTTTTCCCCCCCCTAAAGAAGTACCATTAGCTGTCCTTTCCACTTTCTCTACAGAAGTTGAACAGGAAAAGAATGAGAATACTGCATATCTGCATTACCCGAGAACAAGAATAGGGTGGGTTTTCCCTGGAAATCCAGAGTGATCAGGCCCCACAAAACCAGTGCCTAGAGCTATGCAACAAGCAGGGTTCACAGTTGAGTGAACATCAATGCATATGAGTACAGGCATTTCAATGCAAATACATGCTGAATATGAAGGATTAAAGAAAGGGGAAATTAATCTTTTTCATAACACAGGGCACTTTTTTTTCTCTCCTGTGCGCTCTCTTTTTTAAGTCATGCACACAACTGCTGGAGGGAATCCAACTTCCCTAGTGTTGTGGTGGTGCTTTATAAAAAGCAGAACATACACATTTAAGACCATGAATTTCCTGAGGATGCCAGCAACTGAGATTCTGACAGCTCTACTGAACGGCCTCAGAAAAAAAGTGCTTCACTAAGTGGGGCCAGACTGATGAGTGAAAATCTCATTTCAAACCAACCTTCTATTTCTCAAAGCTCACAGCTTCCTGAGGTGTGGACGGTTTAAAGTGTTGGGTTGCTGCATTTGAGGGTATTTGAATACATTTATTGAAGGGACTTTATTTTTTAGTTTGTTTCTAATTGCCCCATCCAAGTGATGGTTTTGCAATACCCACAACAATAAATAGGGCAGTTTCATGCTGCTTTAACAAGTGGCTCTATCGCCTCCCAGGCTGATCCTCTTATGGCCTAACATCTCAAACCAAAGAACAAAGTGGCAGCGCCCCTTCAGGTTATCCCTTCAAAAAAAAAAAAAAAAAAAAAAAAAAAATCTGCCAAAGAAGGTTATTCAGCTTTTGAAGACTATTCACTTCATGAGATGTTGGACTAGAGCAAAAAACTTGTTAAAACCCCTTTCAGTCCCATCACAGGATTGTATTAAACACAGGATTCCTCAAACATCCTAATACTCGGGGTGCCT